GTCAGTGCTGCTATTTTTAAACCCCATTTTTTTCTGGGGGGCGGGGGGGAAGTGCCTAAATGGCCCCCCTTGGAGGTTCCTAAATCCCTCCCAGCCCTGCTCTCTGCGGGTCTCTCTGCACCTCTGCTGTCACTCCACCTCGGGTGGGCATCGGGCACGGGGTGGACTCGATGGTCCTGGGGGGCTTTTCCCACCCCAGGGATTCTGGGATTCTGTGGAACAAGTGGCAGAGCTGAGGGTGCTTGACGACCTGACAGTGCCTGACAGCCCCATTTCCGTGAGGAAATTCCTCCTGATGTCCAACCTGACCTCCCCTGGCACAGCTGGAGGCCGTTCCCTCTCCTCCTGTCCCTGTTCCCTGGGAGCAGAGCCCGACCTCCCAACAGCTCTCCCTCCTGTCAGGGAGTTGCAGAGCCAGAAGGTCCCCCCTGAGCCTCCTTTTCTCCAGGCTGAGCCCCCCCAGCTCCCTCAGCTCTCCAGCCCCTTCCCAGCTCCGTTCCCAGCTCTGGACACGCTCCAGCCCCTCAGTCTCTCCTGTCGAGGCCCCAGCACAGGGGGACAGTCCCTGCCCTGTGCCTGTGCCCACACCGTGGCTGGCAGCAGCAGGAGGACAGGCTGGTGGCTCCCAGCTGCCCATGGGTGCCGGGATTCCCTGGATTTGGGGGTTCCTGGGAAGGCTGGTTCCATCCAGGCTGTCTGTGTGCCGCAGGCTGAGTCACCGCTGCTTCCCGGAGAATTTCGGGGATGATGGAGTGTGGGCAGGCCCAGCCCACTCACCAGAGCAGCTCGTTTGGGTTTTCTTTTTAATGAAGTTTTAGAATTTTTGCTCTTGCTTTGACACCGTTTTCTTTGGGAAGTGAATTTTTCCCGAGCTGAGTTCAGACGCAGGATCCGCTTGGTTTGGGGAGGTGTTACCCCGGCCCCTGACCCCTCTGGGGAGCTCCAGGGGGGAATTTCCACGAGGAAAATCTGACACAGGGACCCTGCGCTCCCTGCTTCCCCACAGCCCCAAGACCAGGAGCTTTGAGCCCGGTCCTGCTGGGATTTGACCACGGAGTGGGAAAAGGGGAGCGGAGAAAAGGAAGATCCAGCATGTGGGGAGCGCTGGGGTGTTGTGTCCTGCCTCCATGGCTGAGCCCCCCAAGCTGCTCACGTGGCTCTATCCCAGATTTTTGGGGTTGGAACACCTTCAAGCAGGCTTGGGACCGAGGTTGTTCCCTTGTTCCGTGGGATTCATGGAAGCCTCCTTGGCACTGCCTGGAGGGACACGAACCCCTCACACCGAGGCTCATTTGAGGTTGGGAGGGACCTTAACGCTCACCTCGTTCCAATCCTCACGGGTATTCCGGGCTGGTGGATGGATTTCTGTGTGGATTTGGGATTGCAGGAGCCGGTCTTGCCACCGGTGGGAGCGTGGGGAGCTCCTCCTCCACCTGGCCACTGACCAGAGGCGTTTTTGGGAGCTTGTGTCCTGTCAGAGTCCCCTCGTGGCAGCTGCTGTCACATCCGCCCTATATTTGTTGTCATATTTGTGGGAAGGACTCTGAAATATTCATGGAAAGCTTCTGTGTGCAGATTTGTTGGGTTTTAATTACCTATATTTCAGTACTATTCTACTTCTCCTTATAAAAATTCACTCTGCAGTGTCTTGTCAGTGGCAGTTTCCCATCTCCCAGGTCCTTGGGGAGCTGGGATGGTTGTTCAGGAGGAAGCAGGGAGAGATCCATGTCTTTCTGGAGTTATTTTTGAAACTGAGAGGGAGGGGAGAACGCAGCCATCTGGCAAAGTGTTCCTGCAAAACCCTGGAAAGCCCAGTTTTTTCCCTCAGAGCATCCCAGTGGCAAACTGGGATAAAAGGGCTGTACCCGTGGCTGAGGATAATTAATAATGAATAGGGAATGGGAAGTGTTTTTGGTGTCTGGGAGGAGGAACTCTTGGAGCTGGTAATGATCTTCCTACATCCCTTCTGTGTCCTAATTCCCACCACAAAAATACAGGTGACACCTACACTGTTCAGACAGCTGAGTATTTTAGGTTAGCACGAAGTTTGCTTGGTTTGGGGTATTTTTAGGATGCAGGAAGGGTGATGGAATCCTGAGACAACAGTTTCCCACTTGTTGCCTCACAGGGAGTGGTGTTTGTATGGTATAGTTATGTATTGTATTTTATAGTATATTACTCTATTTTTATATATATACACTATATTTTATAGTAATTTCTATGGGGTTTATATATATATTATAATTATGTATTTTTATATATTTTATAGTGTATATATGTATTTTAAATTTAATATATTAAATAGATATATACAACACAATAATATACAATATTATATAATCATATAATATTATATAAAATATGTATTAACATGTTTAATAGTATATTTATATATTTTGATGAATAGTATGTATTTTAGTGTATTTATATATTTTTGATATATACTATTTCATAGAATACTTACACATATTACCAGTATTTAGTGGGATATAAATGTTGGGATGGTTGTCCAGCAACTGGTGTTATGGATGAGGAGTGGCAGAGCCTGGATGGGCAGCACTTCCCATCCCTGCTCCAGCGCTGGGCCCTGTTTTTTTGGGATGCTGCCTTGTTTCAGGGCCAGGGTCCAGGAGGGGATCCAGGAGGGGGTCCAGGAGGGGGTCCAGGAGGGGGTCCAGGAGGGACAGCCCAGGCTGCTGCTGCTGCCACGCCCCCGAGACCGGGGCTGGACCCCCGAAGGAGAGGGGATGTGCAAACAGGTGCTGGGCTGATCCCGGGCTCCTGCCCTCCCCTCCCCTGCCCTGCCGGTCCCTCCGGAGCGGCGCAGGCTCCGTTTTTCCCGCGGGCCGGGCTCTGTATTGCGGCATTTCTCTCCCTGAATTATTTATCAGCCGGCGGAGCTGAATGGAGCGCGCTACGTCCTGCCCACGTGTCTGCCCTGAGCCATTGACAGATCTGGTTCATGGCACCGCGGCTCCCCGGGGGGCTGCAGGGGCCGGGGGGTCCCGGGGTCTGGTGCCCGGTGCTCTCCAGGCTGGGGCAGGCGGGGAGGGGGCGGTTGTCGTGGCGCCGCAGCCGAAAGGCCCTTTTTAAAATAGAGAATGAAATTTGTTTCCCTGCGCTGCCTGGAGACTGGGCCCAGCCCGGGAAGTGTCACCTCCGGGCAGAACACGGGCTTGGAGGCCGTGGGGGGCTCGGGAAGGTCCTGGGCCTGTGGTGTCTGTCCCAGAGCGCTCCCTGCCCTCGCTCAGATGCTGCCGAGCACCTGCAGCACCTGCTGTTGAGTCAGCCCAGGCAGCCACGCTCCAGCTCCTCCCTGCAGTCCCTGTGCCCCTCCTGTCCTTGGAAGCGGGCACTGGCTGGAGCGTGGTTCTACCTGTGCACTCCCCTCATTAGTGCCAGGAGAGGCTGCTGCAAGGCAGGTCCATCCCAAAGAACATCCATGATCCAGCTGCTGGAGCGAGACAGGAGCCTGTCCCAGGCTCCTTGGTTTGGGGTTGTCCCCTTTTCTGAGGGGAGAGGGAGTTTTCTGCTCTGGGTGGGTACATGGACGCATGGAATTCCCTTGGCAAAGCTCTTCTCCCTTTCCAACCACTACCTGTCTCAGGGGGCCCAGTCCTGGCTGCTGGTGGGGGCTTGCAGGGGCATCCAGTGCCCCTCTACCAGTTTGGTGTCACAAGCCCTGGCTTTTTTTCCCCTTCCAATGGAATTTATCCACTCCTGGTTGGCATGTCTCCTCCTCATTGAAGCTGGGCTGGCAGGTGGAGCCTGGGCTCAGCCATTCGTGTCTGTCCTGTTGCTTTTCCCTTTGTTTTCTCTGGGATGTGGCTGTGTTGGGCTCTGGCAGCTTCCCTGTGATCCGGGAGCACCGGCAATACCTGGAACTGCTGCATCCCTCCCGTCCCTGTTTTCCCTGACCCAGTTTCAGTGTGTGGATGTAATTCCAGAGCCGAGGGCTCTCGGATTGAGAGGCAGGGACCTCCTCTGGGGGGCTCTGTCCAGGCTGCTGGAGCTGACTCAGTCTTCCTCTTCCTCCTCCTCCTCCCACCCAGGATTTGCTGTCTCCCATGGAAGGAGGGGGATGCAGCTCAGGAAATCCTCTCACACACGTGCTCTGTGAGGATGAAATGCTGCCAGCTCGCAGCGATGGACAGGGATTTTGGGAAGAGCTGGGGAGGCTGCACCTGTGCTGTCTGGGGCAGGTGCTCATGTCCTGGGGCTGGAGATTCTCTCATTCCAAAATCTGCTGATCCACCTGCCCAGGTGCCAGAGGGCAGGTCTGCAGGCTCTCAGGGAGCTGCTTTTCCTTCTGCTTCCCAGTCGATGTTGAGGACTCACAGTGGGATCTCGGCAGAGGTTTCAAGGCCAATGGGATATTCCTTGAAAACAGGGAGAACAGCATCCCACATTTTGCCCTTGTGCAGCACTGATCCTGTGGGGCTCCAGCACCATCCTGGGTGATCCTGAGGCTGCAGCCGACCTCGGGTGCTCCTTGGCAAAACAAAGCTGTTGGCTTGGCTGGGTTAGGGGAGATTCGAGGGCTCTGTGTGGAACAGGGATCCTTGGCCTGGGAACGCCTCCTCTGTCCCTTTCTGTCACTTCTTCGCTTGCAAAGTCTCTCCTGGAGCTGCTCCAGGGCTCAGAACTCCAGGTCTGACGCTCCAGGGCCGGGAATTAGCATAGAAGGCGATGCTGAGGTGTTCCCCCGGGTCCTGCAGCCCGGCTGGCTGGGCTGCCACAGGGAGTCACTCTGAGCACACGGCTCCAGCCCGGCTTCTGCTGAGCCATCGTGGAGCTGCTGCTGCAGCTGCAGGCACTGCCTGCCTCGGGGGCTCCCTGTGCTGCAGGATGAGAACCTGAGCTCAGCCCCTCACCCTCCTTGGCCTGAGCGAGGAAAAGAAATAATTGAAATGTGACCCCTCAGAAAGGCTGTGGCAGCGGTGACAGCAAGGCTGGCTGGGGCCTGCCCAGGGCAGGGGGGTGTTCTATAGAGTGTTGTCCGTGCTCATGAGTCCTTCTGGAGGCTCTGATGCCTCCTGTGGTATCTGCCATCCCCTCTTTCATAGAAGCAGGAGATATCCTGGGCTGGGAGGGACCCACAAGGATCATCCAGTCCAAACCCCGGCCCTGCACAGACACCCCAACAATCCCAGTTCCTCAGAGCGTTGTCCAAAGCCTCCTGGAGCTCTGGCAGCCTTGGGGCTGTGCCCACTGCCCTGGGGAGCCTGTTCAGTGCCCAACCACCCTCTGTGGGAAGAACCTTTCCCTAAAATCCAACCTGAGCCTGCCCTGGCACAGCTCCAGCCCTTCCCTGGGTCCTGTCCCTGCTCACAGAGAGCAGAGGTCGGAGCTGCCCCTCGGGAGGAGCTGCAGACCCCGAGGAATCTCCCCTCAGTCTCCTCCAGCTGAACAACCCCAGTGCCCTCAGCTGCTCCTCCAGACCCTTCCCCATCCCTGTGTCCCTCCTTTGGACCCTCTAAAGCAGCAGCTTTAGACCTTTTTTACCTCGTGGTGCCCAAACTGCCCCCAGGACTGAGGTGAGGCTGCCTCATCTCAGAGCAGAGCGGGACAGTCCCCTCCCTTACCCTGCCCAGATGCCCTCAGGACACAGAGACCCTTTGTGCTGCCAGGGCACTCTGCTGACTCACATCCCCCTTCCCATCCAGCGGGACCCCCGTCCCTTCCCGCTCCGGGGCGGACGCTGCGTCTTTAACGCGGTGTCGGCGGCGCGGAGGCAGCTCCATTGAAGATTTGAGGGAGAGCAGGAGGGGGTGTGGATGTGGATGTGGCTATTGGCAGAGCTGCGCTGCCATCCCTGGGAACAGCTGGGATCTGCCTGGCGGAGCCCCGAGCTCTCCGGAGCAGCCGCAGGGATCGCTTTGGCGGGGCCGGGAGCTGGCGGGGGCTTCCCGGGAGGGATTTCAGCCTGGCAGAATTCCTCTGGAACTGACCATGGCCATGGAGTGTCCCTTGAAATCGGGGAACAGCTGACCTGCTCGGAGTGCAGAACCACCACGGTGAGTTTATTTTTAGAACGAGGCTTTAATTATTGGGGGCTTGAGAAAGATTGATCCGAGACTTTTCTTTTCCCCTTCCCGGCGCAAAATGCAGTGGAAATGCGGGCGAATATTTCGGGAATGGGGACCTGACACTGTTCCTCTCCGGTCGGTAAGTGCCAGGATTTCTGCTGCTGGAGGGGGTTCATTTAAAATGGAGCTGGGCTAAGGGACTGTGTGGCTCTGGGATCCCAGTCAGGGTTGGGAGCGTGAGAGGAGCTCTCCTCTTCCTCCTTTTGTGCTCTGGGGATGCACTCCCGGAGAGAGGGAATCCCCGGCCGGCATCCTGCGCTCTGCCATGTCATTAAGGAGTTCCCCTGACAGCCTCATGGATTCTCCTTGTGCTCAGGCTGCCTGCAGCTTCTTCCTGGGCAGTTGCTCTTGTTTTGCAAAGACAGAACCTTCCTAGCATTTCTGCTGGCTTACATTTTAATGGAATTTACTGGTTTGGAGCTGGCTACTTGATGAGGAATGTTGGCTACTGAGCTGGCTGTGTGCCATGTGACGTTTTAGGGTTGGCTTATGCAATTTGGTGTTCTGTAGGACGGTGCTTGTGTTCACATATACATTAAACCGGGTTTAAATTATTTTAAACCTCTCACTGAGTTGGGTTTAGTGGAACCGGGAGGTTGGATTGACTTTTCCTCCTCCTCACACGTGTCCATCATCCAGTTTTGCCTAAAATCCGAGAAAAGATGCTCCCTTCATTCCAGCTTCAGTGCTGGGAGCAGATTTTCCTGGGATTGAGGCAGGGTTATCCTACTGCAGGATCCCAGGATCTCCCTACCTGCTCCTCAGGCTCCCCCATCTCGCTCCATCCCAACTTTCTCCACTGGCAGTCAGCAGATAAAGTTGATTTTTCTTTTTTTTTTTTTTCCTTTTAATCATAATTTTCCCCTTTTTTCAATGTTGAAATCCATGTCTGGATCCCACCTGGAGAAGTGCCGGTCTCTGCTGTGTGCCCCTCAGTGATGGGGGTCTCCCTGCCCTCTGCCAGCGTGGGGAGAGCAGAAGGGGGGATGCAGATAACAACCCTGCCTTGTGCCTTCCTCCCAGGGAGGTTTGCTGGGAGCTGGGGTGCTTTTGGGGTGTTTGGTGAGGTCTGGGGGTGTGCTTTGCCGGGCAGGTGGGCTCGGGAAGGTGAGGGAAGACCTCGTTCCCTCATCCAGCCTTTCGGTGCCGGTGCTCCTGCCCTGGCGCAGGCTCGGCTCGGGAGCAGGTGCCAGCAAGGGAAGAGCTGTTTCCCATATTTTCCTGAGCCTGGTTGTCACCTCTGTGGGCAGGTGCCTCCAGCCTGATGAGATGTTTCCTTATGAATGGAGGAGTTCTGCTTGGGGCTCTCTGAAAGGAGTGTGTCGGTGGAGCCGTGCCAGGGTTTCTCTCTGGGCCACGGAAGGGTTAACAGGAATCCCTGCTCCATGCTGTCCTATTGCATCCTGACACTGTGGAAAGTAGGTGGATAATTCCTTGCTCGCTTTTCAGGAAACCCCTGTGGTGGACAGCCCTCATTAATTGTTGCTGGGAAACTGCTTTGACGTCACCGGAGCAGTTCCCTGGTCCTTGGATGGGTACAGGAATAGCTCGTGGTGGGGAAGGCAGAAGTGGTGTGAAATGGAGCAGGGAGCTCTGGCGGGGATCCTCGGCCTGGATTTCTTCCCGTTCTCCCACGGTTCTGCCCAGGCACCCTCAGGAACTGTCCACAAGCCCACAGTGCTGCCTCGGGGCTGAGCGTGAGCCCTTCCTTCTCCAGGACTGTGTTCTGGGTGGTTCCTGTGATCCTTCACTTTTTAACTCTGTTGGTTTGGGGTTTGTTTGCTGTTGGTTATAGGGGTTTTTTTCCTCCCTCAGATTTTGTGAAGAAGTGGTGAGAGGGTCCTTGCTTGGATCCCTGCAGCTCCCAAAAATCAAAGGAAAGGAACAGCAGCACTGCTGTTTCCTTTCTTTTTAACATCAAACTAATAATGTCCCTTTGTTTGATCCCAGCTTCCTTAGAGAAGTGGTCCTGAGGACCATTTAACTCCTGGCATGTGTTTATACACCTTTGTATTTGATTCCTGGGTGTCACATTTTGACAGCCCTGGCACTGGCTGTGTCACACTCCTGGAGTACAGGAAGAGCAGGTTGACACTCTCCTGAGTTCAGTCCTCACCTCTATGGAGGGAGGTAACAAAACATCCAAGTGTTTTATTCCCCCTGGAATCGTCTCGTGCTTGGAGATGTTCCCCCAGCAGAACCTGCTGGTGCTCCACAGAATTCCCTCAGACTCTCTCACCTGCATTTCCTGTCCCCTTGTTTATATAAGGTTATTTCCCCCCTTTTCACCTGGAGCCAAACCCTTCCATCTGCATCACAGTTTCAGAATTTGATGTCATGTGGGGGTGGAGATTAAGCCTTAAAGCCATGACTAAGCACTGGGACTCTGTGAGGGCAAAGACGTCCGGCCTCCTGTTGGGAATTTTGCTGGGTTTTGTGGGAAGTGTAAAGGCAGAGAGGAATTAAATCCTTCTCCAGCAATGGAGAGAACTGGGGAGGGCTGGCAGTGAAGCTGGAGCTTATGAGTGTTGCTGGTTTTGGGGGTTTCTCACCCTCTGACTGGGAGCTGCTTTCTCCAACAGGAGGGAAGGGAAGTGAGCTCCAAAGTCTCTTTACCTGTTGGAATTCCAGCCGAGCCTGCAGACTTTTCCCGGGATACTGGGGCTGCTCCAGGCAGCCGTGCTGCTGCAGTGAGTGGAGCCCAGGAGAGGGAGATGTTTCGGGAGCTTTGGTTGCGTTAACAAATCCTTCCATCTCAGCCTCTCGCTGCACGTGGCGGGTGCTCCTGGGGCGCGGCCGGGACTGTCCCAGCCTCCGTTCCCCGGCCGAGGAGGAGCCTCTGGGATGATCCCCGGGCCCCGAGAGGCACCGGCAGAGCCCGAGGGGCTTCGTGCCTGGAGCGGCAGCCCCCTCCCCACCCCACCGCCTCCACTTGTTCCTGTGCAAAGCCTTTTCCGCAGCCTCTGCCGCGCTGGGGGGGGTGCCTGAGTCACCCCCGCCCTGTTGCTCCTGGCGACAGGGCCCGTTGCCATGGAGCTCGGCCCCCCATTGGCTGCCGGGCAGCCAATGAGCGAATTGCTTGCCAGAGCATCACTGGTACCCAGCGGGAGGGGGGTGCGGGTGGGGGGTGGGTGCTGCTGCCCCCAGACCCCCACACCGGGACGGGGCAGCGCTGGGGTGCTGGGAACATCATGGAGAAATTGGGGCTGGGAGGGACCACAAGGGCCACCCCGTCCAGCCCCCGTCGTGGGGACATGGCCTGTTGAATGTCCTTTGGAGTGAGTCTGGGAGAGCCCAACCAGACCTGTTTCATATCCAAGGGAAATGGAGGGGAGGGAGTCAGGACTGGGGTGGGAAGGCTGTAGTGTGGACACTGTTCTGGTGGCCTTGGCTTGGGCAGGGGCTGGGAAGGTGAAGCCCACTCACACGTGGAACCATGAATAGCCTGAGTGGGAAGGGACCCACAAGGATCATGGAGTCCAGTTCATGGTGCTGCACAGACACCCCAGCAATCCCACCCTGTCCCTGAGAGCACTGGCCAAGCACTCCTTGAGCTCTGGCAGCCTCAGACCCCTCCATCCCCACCTCAGACCCCCCCATCCTGCCCCACGGGTGCCGTGGGTGGGCAGCCCACCCGACAGCCATATGTCTCCTTTGCACCCTCATTTAGCTCAGGAGCGGGTCTGTTCCCTGAGAAACAAGGCCAGGAATGGAGTTTTTTTTTAGCAGGAGCTTCCTGCCTTTCCCAGATTTGCTGTTGGGTCCCTCCAGGCTGGGAATGTGGGACTCTCTCTTGCCTTTATTCCCTGCCCAGCCAGGAGCTGCTGCTGCATTCCCAGGGCTTGGCAGCTGCAAACTGCGGGTGGCAAAAAGGCAGCAGAGGTGGAATTCCACGTTCCCATTTTGGAGTGAAGGGGAGGATATGAATGTGTCCAGGCTCCCTGGCCCTGGGCCAGCGCCCCCAGTGTGCCATGGCTGGCCCAGTTGCTTTGCCAGCCCTCAGCTCAACAGCACCTCACCCACCTTCTCCCTTCCACCCTCTCCCACCTTCGCGTCGTTCTCTTCCCTGACACAGATTTTGTGGCTTCCCTGACGTCGCATCCGTGTCGTTTTTTTCCTCTCCCAAGGCCCAGCTCGGTCCCACCCACCCCCCTTCCCGAGTCCTCTGAACCTCCCCACCCTCTGCAAGCCTCTGTCTGTCACTGGCGCTCGTGTTTGCCACCCCCTCGCCCCGGCCCACGGCTGCCCGAGGGAGCGGGGCTGATTCATTCATCCCGCAAGGAATCCTCCTCTGGAAAGCAGCAGAGCACACATCTCCCCTGAGTTTTGCATGCAGGGAAATATCCTGGAGGCTGCCTGGTGGGGACGGAAGCTGCAGCAGGAGGGGGCAGCTGATAAATGTCAATTCCGTGGCTCTGAGTTGTCATTTCTGGGAAAAATCTGACGATATTCCCGGCGTGGTGCTGGAGTTACATTGCAGCAGGATGGGAGAAGATCCCGTTATCCTTCTGAAATTTGGCTGAGGTGCTTGGCTTGGGGGGAAAAGCTTGTTAGAGGGTGGGTGGTGCAAAGGGAGTGAGCTGTACAAAACCTGCTCCTCTGTTTGAGTGTCGTGTGTGCAGATCCGGTGCCACCTCCTCCTTCCCTTCCCCAGATCTGCTCCAGATCCTCCTGGACTGTTTAGGCCCCCAGCCTGGGCACAAGGCTAGGGCAGGTTCCTACAGTGTGGAGTATTTTGGGGAGGGGAGAGGCAGAGTTCACCACCTTCACCCCCTGCATAATCCAGGCTCCCACAAAGCAGGCACGTCAGGCAAGTGCTCCCTTTTCCCTTCCTGACCCAATTCCTGCCGGAGCGCTGAGCACAGCGGGATTCCCTCGGGTGGGACTCCTCACCCTGTGCAGCATCCCTGGGAACACCTCAGCCTGCTGGGATGAGGCCAGGCCCTTGCAGCTGGAGGACGGATGCTTTCCCTTCTCCCATGGATTTCATGGGATGTTTCCCACATGTTGTGGTGCTGCTTTAGCCCTCGAACCGGGGCTGCACTAAGGGATGAGGGGGGGGCTTCAAACGACTGCTTGGTTCAGGGTCTGCCCACGAGGTGGGTTCCAACCTGGATGTGCAAGAGTTTCTCCAGGGAGAAGCTCCCTCCACCCCCTGACTCCCTCCCTGTGCCCTCTCCTGCAGGTGCCCATCGCTGCGTCGGAGGGCTCCGAAGATGTCCAACAGCAACACGGCACAGGAGTCCCTGGAAATTATGAAGGAATCGGAAAAAAAGGTGGTCGAGGAATCTGTGAACAAAACCAAATATGTATCCAAGTCACCAAGCAAGGAGGAGGTGGAGAAGGATGGGGGGGAGGAGGTCAACGTGCGCCAGGAATCTCAGGTGAGTGCGGACAAGGAGAACTGGGCCCTCACCTGCTGCTTCCTGTCCCTTCCCAGAGGGACACGAGGCTTTTCCACAGGGACACCACACTGTGCAGCCTTCCCAGCCTGCTCCCTGCCTCTTTAGCTGGATCTGCCCTACCCAGAGTGGAATAATTGAAATATTCCCTGGGGACACTTGTGCTGAAACTCCCAGGTTAAGCTTCTCCCCTTCCCTTTCCTTTCTCCACAGAGGCGAACGTCGAGTCACGGGCACGCCAGGAAAAGAGCCAAGGTAGGAGCTCTGCTGACATCCTGATCTTCTTTGGCTGTGTATTCTGTTACTGAGCAGTTTAATTGGGAATGGCTGCACGAGTGGCCTGGGAATGCAGCTGCAGGAGCTCAAGGGTGTTTTGCCTGAGGTGTCTTAACCACCCTCTTTCTTTTCCTTCTCCAGTCTAATTCAAAGCTTAAGCTGGTCAGGAGTTTGGCTGTGTGTGAAGAGTCCTCGGGCCCCTTTGTGGATGGGCTGCTGGAGTCCCAGGTAGGCCCAGAATGAGACAAATTTGGGAGTGTGGAAGCCCAGAAAATCCACATCTTGCTGGAATTGATGTTGTGCCTGGGGCCAGTGCCTCGGAGGAGGGTGGGGAGAGACAGCTCTGTCTGCTCTCACAGAGAGTTTTCGTATGGATTGTGATCTGAGAACCTTCCCCTGGTGCTTCTCTCAGCCACCAGCACCTCCAGCCACTAGCCAAGGCTCAGGGAATGTCTGAGGGACTCCAGCCTGCTTTGTTCTGTTCCAGGACATCATCCAGCTGCACGTGAGCTGCCCCTCTGACAAGGAAGAAGAAAAATCCACGAAAGATGGGGTGGAGAAAGAAGAAAAAGACAAGAATAAAGAGAAAACACCAAGGAAGATGCTCTCTCGAGGTCAGGTGCTGGTTTGAACTGGGGAGGTGCTGGTTTGGATGGGGCAGGTGCTGCTGGGACAGATTGGGAAATGTGGGAACATCATCCTTGTGCTCATAAAGGCACAGAGACACAGCCCTTCCCTCCCCTCCTTTTCCTTCTCCCTTCCCTTCTCCTTCCCTTCCCTCTCTGCTGTTGCAGTGCTTTGTTGATTTGTTCTGCTGCTGCTGTTGTTGTTTCAGATTCCAGCCAGGAATATACAGACTCCACTGGAATAGATTTGCATGAATTTTTAGTAAATACACTGAAAAAAAACCCACGGTAGGTCCTGGGCAGTAAAACAACTCCCTGAGGGGGTGATGGAGGGGATGATTCCACACCTGGGGGGGTTGTGTGTCCCTGTCCATGGGTGTTCCCATATCCTGGGGGATTGCAGCACCTCCAGACAGTGCCTGCAAGTGTCTTTGTGTTTTCCTTCTTGGAATTCCAAGAGCATTACCAGACCTGGGGCAGTGTAGAAATTAAAAGCACAATGGTAATTAGTACCCTGTTTCATTCCAAACATGGAATTTTGTGTGATGGAAAGAGAGAGAAGGAAAAACAAAACTTGTTTGAATGCAAGGAAGGAGTCCTGATTGTGTTAAGCCCCGTTCTACAAGTGATTGTCAAATATCAACCTGCAAAGGAGCTGCTGTGGCAATAATCCATGGAATCAAGGGAAAGGCTGGCATGGGAATAGCAAAGCTGGAGTCACCACCAGCAGAGCTTCCAGCAGAGCAGGGACTGAGGCTTTCCAAAGCCAAGCACTGTCAGCAAAACAACCTTAAACTGAAAAAATCTGGTGATTGATTTAGAATGTTTGAAAACCACGGAGTGTTTGAGCCTGTTCCCCTGGGGATGGGTGAGGCCAGGGTGGGGGTGTCACTTGGTCCTCCTGTTTGTGACTTTCTCTGTGGCAGGAGAGGGGTTGGGAGCTGGGAAAGCTGCTCCACTGCCTTTAAAGTGGCCTTTTCCTTTCTCTTTTCTTGACAGGGATAGAATGATGCTGCTCAAATTGGAACAGGAGATCCTGGAATTTATCAGTGATAACAAGTAAGTGGCCGTGGAGCTCGTGCCGAGCAAACGGGGGTTTGTAAGGTGGAGCTGAGGAATTTGGGCTCCCAGGGGAGAAGGGAATGTGTCCTGGTGGGGAGCCCCGTTCTCTTGTGCATCCTGACATGGCACTGCTTGGAAGTGTAACCCTTTCCCTGCCTCTTCCCAGCAATCAGTTCAAGAAGTTCCCCCAGATGACCTCGTACCACAGGATGCTGCTGCACCGGGTTGCTGCCTATTTTGGGATGGACCACAACGTGGATCAGACTGGGAAGGCCGTCATCATCAACAAGACCAGTAACACACGAATGTAAGGGGGAGGGAGCCTGCCCTTTCCCTCTTCCCTTCTCCCTTTCCCTTCTCCTTTCCCTTCCCTACAGCCCAGGAATGCTCCAGAGCAGGATGGGTCCCACACCCCACTTTCTTTGCCTCATGAGAAGGGCAGGCCCCTCTCTAGGAGAATCGGGTCATGGAATGAATGAACAGGGAAGAATCCTTCCCTTCCAGCCCTCCCTGCCCCTCCACAGTTCCCAGAGAAGGGCAGGAGCTCTCATTGCCATCATCCAGAGCCGGGATTTCACACAGCCAACCCCTCTGCATGGTCTGTGCCCCTTCTTTCCCCTCCTAACAAGGGCTGGTTTTCCTGCAGCCCCGAGCAGAGGTTCTCCGAGCACATCAAAGACGAGAAGAATGCCGAGTTCCCACAGAGGTTCATCCTGAAACGGGATGACACCAGCATGGATCGGGATGATAACCAGGTGAGGGGGGGGCCATGGGGCGTCTGCAGCCCTTGGGAAAGTCAGATGTGACCTGTCTAAGATGAGAACAACTCCCAGATTCTCTTGGGTTTCCTCCAGTCACATTTGATAGGAGCTCCCACCCCACCCAGGCAGCAGCACCTCAATACAAAAACTTCCAAACACCATGGAAAAGGATGAAGAATTGGTGTGGGTTCTTTGGGGGAGCTTCTCCATACCCTGAAATCATCAGGGGGCTGGGCCAGGCTTTAAGGTGAAGCCTTTTGCCAAGCTTTCCCTGGAAATGCCCTCAGCTGAGTGTTGCCAAGTGTCTCTCCCCACCTTTCCTTTAAAAACCCTTAAAGCCCATCCAGTGCCACCCCCTGCCATGGGCAGGGACACCTTCCACCAGCCCAGGTGTCTCCAAGCCTCGTCCAACCTGGCCTTGGGCACTTCCAGGGATGGGGCAACCACAGCTTCTGTGGGCACCCTGTGCCAGGGCCTCCCCACCCTCCCAGGGAGGAATTCCTTCCCCAAATCCCATCCAAACCCAGTCCCATCAGCCCAGGGCTGTCCTGTGTTTTGGGACCTGTTGCTGAGTTTAAGTCAGGGTCAGGAGCTGCTCGTTGCAGTCAATCCCAGTTCGTGGTTTCCCTGTGGTGCCACTCGGGGTTGCAGCTGCCCACGGAGCGCACGATCCCTGAGGGAGCAGGAATGTTGGCACGTGCTCCAGGGAATGGCCTTCAGCTTTTCTCCCTGGGAACAGGCTGTGGGTGATACTCCAGACCTCAGGATCAGGCAGAGTTCAGGCAGGGTGGCTGTGCTCGAGGCAGGAGGTGGCTGGATGTCCGGGAATGACCATCCCTGGACGCCTGTGGGATGTTCATCCCTAGACACAGCAGGGTCCGAGGGCAGAGGCTGCATCCAGGCACCACACACGCTCCACAATCCACATCCTGCCCGAAATTCCCAGCAGCTGACTGCTCCCCCTGCTCCTGCTGGCAACTGCTGACCCCTGAGCTGTGTTTGTCCCTTCAGATCAGACTCCCCTTGCAGGATGGGAGAAGGAGCAAATCCATAGAAGAGCGAGAGGAGGAATATCAGCGGGTCAGGGAGCGGATTTTTGCACGAGAGGTAAGTTTGGATCACTCACCTGCCAGGAACCTCCCGGAGCTTTGGGGCAGAAGGTGGCCTTGAGCATGCTGAGAGGTCAGATCTCCTTGTTGCCTTTCCTACCAATTTCCCAGTGGTTTTGGGATCTGCTGTTGAATTCCAGCTCCCAACAAAGGTGTCTGAGATGTCTGGGTAGAGGAGCCACACCCACACCCCCCAGTCTGCACCTTCCCTAAAATGTCAGGGAGCAGCAGAGGTGACAGAGGAGGCAGTTCTGCTCCTTGCTGCCAGAAAGATTACAAGTTTATGCAGTGGCACTTCTGGGATGACCAGAAAACCAGTTGCTGAACTGAAAAGGAGCAGCAGCTGCATCTCCCCAGTGCTGCAGCTTCCACCTCCTGACCCAGCAGTGCAGGGCTCTGCCTTTCCAGGGGAAATCTGGGCCTTTCCTGGGCTCAGTGCCTGCTCATTCTCCAGCCAGGGGTGGTCAGGGATTTGTCTTAACCTGCACAGGCCCAAAGCCACCCAGACCTGTAGTCCTGGCTTGGGGCAGGGGCTGTAGCACAGCACAGAGTGGGATGTCCTGACTGCTGCTCAGTGTCCTGGGCTGAGCCAGCTTTGGCTCTGCCGTCCAGAGGCAGGGATGCCCGGCAGGGATCAGGCTGGGCTGGCTGTGAGCCCACTGCCTGGGTTGGCACGTGGAGGAAGGTACCCCCAGAGCTGCCTCAGAGCAGCGGAGGAGGGAGCTGAGGACTCAGATTTGAGATCTTGGGGCGCAGCCGTCAGGGAAGGTTCCCGAGGGCCTGGATGGAGATCCACAGGGAGCAGGAGGCTCAGCACCACACACACCGTGCCCCAGCCCCACCCTTTTGAAATCACCTGGGGTTGTTCTTTCAGAGCCACTAAGTCTCCCTTTTCTTTCCTTCCCTTCCCACCTCCGTGGTCGTGCTGCCAGTCTGGCCAGAACGGATACCTCACGGACAGCAGGTGAGTGCTGCCCTGGGTGTGTCTGCAGAGCCCTGCACGGCTCTGAGGTGCTGCTTGTCCCTGCTGTTCACTGGCAGACTCTCCACAGAAGGCTTTGCTTGTAGCTCTCCCACACAGAGGCAGATTTTTAGGTACCTCTGTGTGGTTTGTTTTGCCCCGTGTCCTGCTGGATCAGCCCCCCCACCCCCCATCAGTGGCTGCTCGTGCAGTTACTGAAGGTGTTTTCTTTGCAACATCAATTCTGAGTCCTTTTTTGGCTGGTTCATCAGTTATAAAGGAGGGTGGGAATGGCAGGGAGGAATTCCAGCAGTTTTCACCTCTTGTTTCCCAAAAGGGTAGGAAATCCCTGCCCTTACAGTGCCAGGATCAGCATCAGGATCAGGCAGGGCTGCCCCTAATCCTGGATTATCAAGGCTGGATGACTAAATGGTGGCAGTGAAGTGTCTCAGGCTCCCTCTCAGCCAGAGGAGCCGCTGAGGGCACTGGGAACACGTTTGAGCAGCGTGTTCTTATGAAGCAGTTTTGCCCTGGATGAAAGGGCTGGAGTCAGGCTGGTGAGTCACATGGCACTGACCCCGCTGCCAGAGCTGCCCAGGGGTGAGGATAAAGAAGGGCATGAAAAGGGAGAGAGTCTCCCCCCTGCTGTGCTCTGCCTTCCCAGCCAAAGCTCTGGACACGAGGCAGCTCTGTGTGGGACAGGACAGGAGGATCTGATGGGTCAGGAGCAGCTTTGTCCCTCTCCTCAGGCTGTCCTGGAAAACCCAGTGTCCTCAGCACAGGGCAGAGGGGACAGTTCTCAGTCTGTGGGGTTGGAGTAAAACTCCCCCAGAACGTGGCAAAAGCCCCATTGCTGATGTGGCTGCAGCCCTGGGAGCTGAGCTCAGCCAGGGCTGTGCCAGGAGCTTCCCTGCTTGTGGTGCCCAGGCCCTGAGGAGCTGGGTGAACCTGCCTTTGGGGTTCCCCTGGATGGCACAGGGAGGATTCCTGGGCCTCGGGACCATTGTGAGCTCTTCAGGGATATAACCATTGCACTGCTTCTCCAAGGGATGGATTCTGGGCTCTCACATGCTCCCAGCAGCCCAGGACATCACCTCAGGAGTTCCTTCCAGGCCTTCTCTTTTCCCCTCCACAACTGTGTGGAGCTGCTGCCGGGCTCTCTGGGTGTCCCCACCCCCCTGCTCTGGGTGTCCCCACCCCCCTACCCCTTCCCCAGAGCCCCCTGTGACTCGTGCTCTCCGCAGGGGCGCCCGGGAGGGGCTGGGCAGGGCCTCGGGCAGCCGCCAGAGCAGCACGGAGAGCGAGATGAAGGCGCTGGAGCCGCGGCCCTGGAGCAGCACCGACTCGGACGGCTCCATCCGCGCCCTGCGGCCGCCCGTCACCAAGGCCAGCAGCTTCAGCGGCATCTCCATCCTGACCCGGGGGGACAGCGTCGGGAGCAGCAAGGGCAGCGCTGCCAGCAGGACGGCCCGGGCAGGTACAGAGCTGCTGCTTCTCCAGGCAGGTCCCTGCACAGCTGCCCGGGGGCTCCTGGCACGCAGGAACAGGGCTGGGGAGCTGGGGCTTGTGGTGCTCTGCGTGTGGAACCAGGACGTGGCTGGCACCAGGATCTCGGTGCCTGGGCATGGTTTGATCACCTGCTTTGTCACCATCACCTCTCCCATCCCTTCATCAGTCACCTGGGATGAGGGACAGTGTTTGATCCCAGCCCCTGCAACTCAGACTCCCAGTTATCGTGGTTTTCTCTCCCCTGCTGTGCCCCAAGTTGTGTTGCCATTCCCTTCTGCTCCCCAAATCCCTCCCAGCCCTGAGGATGCTCAGGGTGAACCTCCTGGCACTGTGCCTTAGCTTTCCAAGGAGGAGGGCAGGGAAAGGTGTCACCGATTAGTCTCATCAGACACAACTGTCAGACAAAGACTCTGATAATTGGGATCTGCCCACGGTGTTCTCAGAGTGATTCACTGAATCCTGGGAGCAGACAGCAGCTGGAGCTGGGCCTGAGCTCCAGAGCTGCTGGGGATAGTGCAAGGGTTTGGGAGCCAAAGGGAATTAGGATCCCAAGTCTCTCTGCTGCTCCTTCCTTGTCTGTCCCAGTACCCTTTTCAACCTGCTGCTCATGCAGGGTGTTTGTGGAAGGGACAGCACAGGTTTGGCTCCCATTTTAGTCTGGTGACAGCTGGGGTAGCTGCTGACTGGTGTCAGTGAGCAGAATCCAGCATTGTCCCACTGCCCTCCATTCCCACTGCTCAGCAGCAGGTCCCAAATCCTTAGGAACTGGCATTTTCCTGGAGGGGAGAGGCAGATTGTGGGTAATAACTGCTCTACGAGAGTCCTTTCAAACAAAAAGGGATTTAAGAGGCTCCCAGACCGTGTCCCAGCACCCAGCCCTTGGAACCACACCTTCATGTCCCAGTTTGGAGGTGCCCACAGCGTCTCCTACGATCCTGTTCCCATCATGCCAGGGCTCTGCTCACTCTGGGTGTTCCAGCCACCTCCAGGACTGATTCATGGAGTGCTGGGAGCTCTTACTTGAAGATCTGTCCCAACGTGTGCAGAGCAGAGTGAGAGAGGAGCTGCTTTTTGGCTCTTCCTGTGATTTTCCCTCCAGGTCTCCCCTGGGAACAGGAGCCAGTTGCTTTCCAGGCTTTAAATAAGGGCAAATGATTAGAAACATCCTGGGAGAAAGGAAAAAAAAATAGGCAAAGGAATTATCACTTCAGGGAACAAAACCACCAAACCCACCTTCCTCCATGTCCTTATGTTTATTCCATGGGATTGGAAGTGCCTGGGACCTGGGGGCTCTTTTCCCATCACAGCATCCAGCCCCTGGGCAACTGTCAGTGGAATATTCCCTCCTTTGCAGCAAGAGGCTGCTGACAGAGCTCCTCAGCAGAATCCCTGGAGATCAGCTGTGGAAGTGTGGGAGATCAGAGGCAGAATTGGTTAAACAGCAGCTACTGGGCATGGAGCAATAGTTTCACAACCCTTTTATTTCTGGAAGTGAGACTGGAATACTGAGGAGACCCTTCCCAGCTGGGTGCCAGCAATGTGCATCTCGCTCCTTCCCAGCTTTTCCTGCCATGGGAAGGGATTGCTTTCAGCTTGCCCCTTCCCATCCTTTTCCTCAGAGGAGGGGGGTCTGATTTTGGGATCCCTGCCTGGTTTGGGGGTGGAGAGCCTCCAAATCCAGCCAGATTCCTCTTCCCTGCGTGGGGCAGGGGAGGAGATCCCGGGATCAGCCTTGGAGGGTCAGTGTGTGCTCTGGACGTGGAGAGGAGGGGGATACAATCCCCGGGAGTGTCAGCCCCTTGCTTTGCTGTGAGCAGAGGCAAAGCAGTGCCTCAGCCCTCTGCCTGCTCCGGTGGTGACAGGATCCCACCCAGCCTTTGTCTCCCGGGTGCCGACCTCCCGTGCCTGTCCCTGTTGCAGGTTTGGTGCTAGGAGCCCCTGAGGGGTGCAGCCAGTCCCCGTCCTCGCAGCCCAGCCGTGGCCTCCTGCCCTGCACGGCCCCGCAGCCGCCGCCCCCGCAGCCCCCCGGGATCCCCCCCCCAACCCAGCAGCCGCCGGCCATGAGCAACCCCATGATGTCCCAGGTGAGTCACCGCCCGGGACCCGGGCTCAGGGAGGGGGGAGCAGGGCCAGAGCACACCCAGGGGGCTCTGGGCCCACCCGTGGGGTGTTGGGGGTCCCCACACTCGCGGTCCCTCTGTGCTCGTGGCAGAGCAGCAGAAAGGTTGGGGGCTGTGCCCTGTGCCGTGCCTGAATGATTCCATGGGATATCCCAGCTTCCCAGCCCCTTCTGATGGGCTCAGGCCAGCAGCCCCTGAGTAAGGGTCTGTAATCTTTGGGTGCTTTGGGACAGGCCACCCCTCCCAGGCCCTGCAGATCCTCCGGCTGGGCCGTGTCTGACAGGGATGGATCCTGCCCCGGAATGGTCTCCGTGCTTCCCAACCCCTGCAGTGCCCCTCTGTGTGTTTGCAGTTGGCTCACTTGACTAACCTTGTTGTTCCTTCTTTCTCTCCTTCCTCCTCATCCTTCCTTCCTTCCTTCCTTCCTTCCTTCCCCTGTCCCTCCTTTTCCCTGGATCTCTCTCCTCCGCTGGTCGTAGCCGGTCCCGGCGCTGCAGCCCGTTCCGTACTCTCCAAGCTCCTGCCCCCAAGTCCTCTTGCCAGTCTCTCCACCCCAGCAGTACAACCTGGTATAAACCCCAGTTCCTCTTCTGCACTGTCTGTTGTGCTCTGTGCTGTGTTTGTGTTGTGTGAGCTTGTGCTGATCAGGTATGTCCCGGGCACTGACCCCGTGGGGTTGGGATTCACGGAGCTCTGTGCTGCAGTGGCATTCCCGAGGCTGTGGCACCACCAGTCCTGGAGTGGCAGTCTTGCAAAGAGCCTGGGAAAAGCAAACTCCGAGCCCAGAGCTCCCCAGGAGGCGATGCTTGTGCCCAATGCTGGGGTTTGGGAGCTGTGGCTGCCCCGTGGGCTCTGCCAGCCCCTGTGCTGTCTCCACCGGGATCTTTTGGGAATGGTGTGCCCCATGGGACGTGGCCTGCGGGCTGGGGTCACCCCTGCCTGTGTGGGACCCCAGGTGTCACTGAGTGCCCACGCAGCATTAGGCCCCCCAGCGGGTCGCATGTCCCCCTGTCCTGCTCTGGGTCTGTGGCTGGGGGAGCTCCTCACAGAACAGGGAGGAGGGGTCTGCACTCACCAGCAGAGCTGTGTGCTACGTGCTCTTGTGCCACGTGCTGTCTGTGCTCCTCCATCCTTCCCCTTCTCTCCCCCCAGGCCGACGAGCTCAGCAGCCCCTTCGGGCAGATCAGCCTCAGCCGACAGGGCTCGACGGAAGCCCCGGATCCTTCCTCGGCGATGTTCCAGTCATCCCTCATCTCCCAGCACCCTCAGCAGACAGGATTCATCATGGCAACCCCTGGGCAGCCCATCCCCACCTCCAGCTACTCCGCCTCGGGGCACACGGCCCCCACTCAGCAGGTGCTGCAGCCCCAGGGCTACATTCAGCCTCCCCAGCAAGTAAGGACACGAGGGGACGTCCCCAGGGCTGGCAGGGGCTGCTTGGGAGTGGGGTCCCTCTTTTGCTGCTGCTGGTTGGTGATGGATCCATCCTCAGGGGTCCAGGCTCCGCGGTCTCACGCTCCCTCACTAGCACAGGATGATCCCAGCCCCCTCTGAGCCCACGAGGCTCCTACCTGGGGACCCTCTGGCCTGCTCCTAGCTCTCAGTGGTGGGGGAGGGACAGTGGCCGGACTCAGGGCTGACACCTCTAAGCTCTCTTTGGGGTCCTGCAGGGCTTTAGGACCTCTAGGATTGTCCCCTGAGCTGTGAGGAGAGTTGTGCCTACTGTGCTCTTGCACTACTGTGCTGGGAAAGGCTTGGATGAGGAGGCTGGGGGCCCGGGAAGGGGCTGCGGTTCCCCACGGAGCCACCAGCTGGCCAGAGCCAAAGCCCTGGGTGGTTCCCTTCGGCAGAAGCCAGGCCAGGTGAGAGAGAAAACTGGTCCTGGGGGACCAGCTTTCTTGGAGCCCCTCCCTGCTGTGTTCTCACCGCTGTGTTTTCTTGCCCTTGGTAGATTCAGGTTTCTTACTACCCCCCCGGGCAGTACCCGAACTCCAGCCAGCAATACCGACCCCTCAGTCACCCAGTGGCCTACAGCTCCCAGCGCCCACAGCAGCTCCCCCAGCAGTCCCAGCAGCCAGGTAAGGGGCTGGAAAGGGGGGAGGGGGGCAGCTTTCCCTTCTCTGCTGCTTTTGTTGGCCTTAGGGATCCCCCATGCCCTGTCTGGGCCCAGGTTGCTCTTCCCCGTCTCCCACTCTTTGCAGGACCTGTCTCTCGGCTGGAAATTTGGATCCTGGCCTGTAGAGGCTGTTGAATCCTTCCCCTCCCTTTCCTCCCAGCTTGTTGGAGCAGGGATGAGTTGGATTTAAGTCCCACTGAGGGGGTTTAATGCCAGGAACTTCCCTCAGGTGTTTTTACATCTGCCCTAGGGAGGCCCATTCCCCACTCTTTAGCAGGAGGTGGGGGCAGATCAGGATTTGAGCCCCTATATCCCAAGTCTGGGGCTGTTTCCCACCTCCAGCTGGGAAGCTGCTCCATTGAAACCCTGTTCTGGCAGGTTTACAGCCAATGATGTCCAACCAGCAGCAAACATACCAAGGTGTGATGGGGGTGCAGCAGGCGCAGCCCCCCGGGCTCCTCAACAGCCAGAGGAACAACATGGGGGGCCAGATGCAGAGCGTGATGGGGGTGCAGCAGGCACAGCCCCCCGGGCTCCTCAGCAGCCAGAGGAGTGGGATGGGGAGCCAGATGCAAGGCCTGATGGTCCAGTACACGCCACTGCCTTCGTACCAGGTGGGCACCTGCTGCTCTCCAGCGTGGGGGGCTGGGAGGGGACCCCAGTGGGCAGGGTGTGCCCCATTCCCGTGCCTGAGGGTGGGAGCCAAAGGTGGGGATTACCCACTTGGAGAGCACCTGGGGGAGGGCACATCCCTGTGGGAATCTGTGGGACACGTCTGGAACAGGAGGACTGGGAGAAGAGCTTTTGGGAGGGGCTGCCCCTGCCTGGCCAAGGTTGCTCTGGGCAGGAAAACACCACCTGGAATCTCCTCCCCTTGCTGGTGTCTCCTTGGGCCAGCTCTCCCTGCTCCATGTGACCTGGAACCTGCTGCTTTCCTCCCTGCCCAGGTTCCCATGGCCAGTGAGTCCCAGAGCGTGGTCCAGCAGCCCTTCCAGCAGCCAGTGCTCGTGCCAGCCAGTCAGTCTGTGCAGGGGGGGCTCCAGGCTGGGGGGGTCCCCATCTACTACAGCGTCATCCCCACTGCCCAGCAGAACGGCACCAGGTAAAGCTGCTGCACCTCCGGCCTGCCCTGGGGAGAAGGGGGTGCTGCTGCCCACAGAGGGCCTTTTGGGGTTGTCCTGTCAGGGCCAGGAGACAGCCTTGATGTTCCTCATGGGTCCCTTCCAGTCAGGGGATTCCATGATTCCACTGGATGATTCCATGCCCTGCTGAGAGGGGGGAGCGCTCCTGCAGCTGGAGGTGGTTGAGCACCTCAGGAGCTGCTCCTCCCCTATCCAGGGCTTCCTGGCCACCAGCATGCCAGGCTCCTGTGTGCCCAGCCCTCTCCAGAGGCTGCTGTGTGTCCAGCCATCCTGCACAGAGGGAGCTGGGAGTTCCCTGCAGACACTCCTGGGGTTTTCTCTCCCCATGCCCGTCCTCACCCGATCCCTCTCTGCTCCTCAGCCCGTCCGTGGGGTTCCTGCAGCCTCCCAGCTCCGAGCAGTACCAGCTGCCGCAGTCCCCGGCCCCCTGCAGCCCCCCCCAGATGCAGCAGCAGTATTCAGGTACGAGGGGCCACGGGCAGGGCTGGCACCGGCTCCAGGTGGGATCAGCTTTTGGATCACGGGCGGCAGAGCTGCCCCTTGGCAGCCAAGTGTGGCAGCTTCTGTGCCAGGGGGCTCCTGTTTGGGAATCCCACTGAGAATGGTCAGGATGTGGCTCCAGGGTGGCACTGGCCTGTGCCTGGCATCTCTCTGCCATGGTGGGCAGCGGGGTGGGAGTGGCAGAGGGAGCTGGGTGGGCTGTGGATTGGTGAGAGCAGGGAGAATTGGGGATGAGGAGCCTCAGGATTCCTGCTCCCTGTCCCAGCCACTGGGATCGAGGTGAGGCCTTGTGAGCTGGTGCAGGAGCTGGATTGGGATTGTGGAGCTCTGGGCCTGGTGAGCTGCAGGATCTGGGCTGGGATGCTGGAGCTCTGTGCCCAGAGTCCTGCAGCGACGCTCAGAGCAGCCACTGAGCTGCCATCCATCAGCTTGTGCCCCCTGCTCCCGTTTCTCCTGGATTAAACATCCTCCCTCCCTGATGTAAGATGGAATATGGGAGAGGGATCCCCAGCAGATCCTGGTGGGGCTTTTCCAGCCTGGGGAAGGCAGGAAGGGCAGAGGAGAAGAGTCCAGAGCGGGATCACAGGGAAGGGCATGCAGTGGCAGGGACAGGCAGGTGCCCCCAGCAGCAGAGCCCGGACCAGACGTGCCTGTGTCTGTCCCCAGGGGTGTCCCCGTCAGGCCCCGGTGTGGTGGTGATGCAGCTGAACGTCCCCAACGGTGCCCAGGCCCCCCAGAACCCCCCCGTGGTGCAGTGGAGCCACTGTAAGTACTACAGCCTGGAGCAGCGGGGGCAGAAGCCAGGAGACCTCTACAACCCCGACACCAGTGCTCAGGTACTGGGCGGACTGGGAGGGGCGGGGAGGAGGCAGCTCAGCCCCTGGGGCTGCCGGGGTGGGCTGGGCGATGGCCGGGGGGTCACCCCGCGGGTGTGGGAGCGGTCACAAGCGCTGGGGGTGTCTGACACTGTCCCTCCCCCAGGCCAGCACTCAGCTGAACAGCCCCATCACGTCCCCCACCCAGTCCCCGACGCCGTCGCCCGTCACCAACCTCAACAGTGTGTGCACGGGGCTGAGCCCCCTCCCTGTCCTCACACAGTTCCCCCGGCCCATGGGCCCGGCACAAGGTAAGGGGGAGGTGTGTGGGGACAGCCCAGGGCCGGGAATTCCCCGGCGGTTCCCGGGGCCCCCACAAACGTCGCTCCTCGCGCAGGTGACGGGCGGTACTCGCTGCTGGGCCAACCGCTGCAGTACAACCTGTCCCTCTGTCCCCCACCACTGCTCCACAACCAGCCCGGCTACACGGCACACCAGGTACAGCCGGGCCACACGTCCCCTCCCTGCGAGGCCACCGTGTCCCCCGAGGTGACACGGTGCCCTTTTCACTCTTCAAGGGGCAGACTGGAATGAAGCACGGCAACCGGAGCAAGAGACAGGCCCTCAAGTCAGCGTCCACCGACCTGGGGACGAGTGACGTAGGCAAGTGACCCCCTGGAGCAGTTCCCTTTGCCCTCTGACGGCCACACACACGGGGTTTGGAGACTCCAGATGCCCACGCCGGCATCCCACAGAACCCTGTGTTGGTTTTGGGGAGTGGTTCCTGCCTGTCCCTCACCCAGGGGGTCTCCACAAGGTCCTTGGGGAAGGAGGGACCCACAGCCTGAACGGAGCAGCCCTCACTGACCCTCTGGAGGCCTCAGGCTTGTCCCCCATGTCACCTCCATGTCACCATCAGCAGCTGGTCGCAGGGGGCCCTTTAAGAGCCGCCTGGCATGGCCTGGCTGTGCCACGTTAATATTAGCAAAGAATCCCTTCAGCAGCTCTGCTAAACCTGGAGCCAGGGCTGGAGCCAGGAGCTGCAGAGGGGCTTGGGGACCACCAGGCAGGGACTGGGGCAGGAGCTGCAGAGGGATTTGGGGACCACCGGGCAGGGCACGTCCACGTGTCGCTGTGGATGCAGCCGTTCTCCCTCCCAGGGTCAGGGTGGGAGCACAGGGCTGGCTCCCAGTCCTGGCCCCTGAGGTTTGGGGTGGGAAAACAGGGCAGAGCCCCTGGGAGAGCCAGAACTGCCCAGCCAAGGCCATCCAAAGGACACCAGAAGGACGTGGTGTCGCTGGGCAATACCCATCTCCTTCTGCAGCAGGTTGTGTGCACGGGAAGGGATCGGGATGGGAGCAGGTAGGGGCAGTCTGGGGGAAGTGACTGGCTTAGAGAAATACCTGTGGGCAGCGTGGCACAGCGCAGCATTGCTGGGCCAAGGAGAGGTGGGTGCTCCAGCCCAGAGCCGGTGGGAGCCCGGCAGCGGCTCCGGGGGCACCGGGAACAGACGGGTGACTCGTCTTCCTTCCCCACAGTGCTGGGCCGGGTGCTGGAGGTGACGGACCTGCCCGAGGGCATCACACGGACCGAGGCCGACAAGCTCTTCACCCAGCTCGCCATGGCCGGTGCCAAAATCCAGTGGCTCAAAGAGACTCAGGGGCGCCGCGGGGACGGAGGCGGCGGCGGCGGGGACAACAGCGGGACTCCAGAGAACGGCAGGCACGGTGACCTCGCTGCCTTATACACCATCGTGGCCGTGTTCCCCAGCCCGCTGGCTGCCCAGAACGCCTCCCTCCGCCTCAACAACTCCCTCAGCCGCTTCAAGCTGCGCGTGGCCAAAAAGAACTACGACCTGCGGGTGCTGGAGCGGGCCAGCTCCCAGTAGGGCTCCTGCGGGCACTGGGCACCCCCCTGGGCCTCTTCTCCTCCTGCCCTCCCTTCCTCTTGCCCTCCTTCCTTGATATATTTATATGAACATAATTAAGAGACAAGAAGTTGATTTTTTTTTTTTGGGTTTTTTTTTTTTAATTATTATTATTTTTGGAGTGACGCCCGTGCCCACCCCCCTCCCCTGTGTCTCTGGTTTTGTTTAAGCACTGTGTTGGACCGCACATACAGGTGTTGATTGGTATGTTCACTGCACATTTTATTTAATCGGATTATTATTTGGGGGGGGAGGGGGTATTTTTGGTTTTATTTTATTTGGGGGGGGTTGTTTTTAAATAAAAAAAAAAAGAAAATTGTCCATCACTTGAACGTAACTTGCCCGTTCTCTGCCAGTGCCAAGGGCTGGGGGCTCTGGGCTGCCTCGGCGGGGTGAGGGGACAGTGGAAGGGGCACTGGCAGGGGATGTGTCCTGCCCGGTCCTGCCCCTGTGTTGGCATGTCTGAGGGCTGCGAGCTTGTGGTGTGCCAAGGTGGGAGCCCAGGCTGGGAGTGGAGTGCTCGGCCTGGGGCTGGACCCCTGACAGATGTTCACAGCCTCTTCTCTCAGCTGCCAGCCCCGTCCAGCTGTGCCAGGGCAGGAGTGAGGGCATGGAGTGTCCCCAGCTGTGGCCCCTGCCGGGAAGCAACACACTCCTGGTGACTGAGGAGCAGCACCTGGAGCTGGCACAGGTGCAGTGGGGACAGGATTTGGGCTGGCACAGCCTTGGTGGCACAGCCGGAGCCTCCAGCAGCAGTGGGATGCTCCCAAGGCAGGTAAGAGAAACTGGGAAGGGGGGCTCCAACTCCAGACTTGAACCAGCTCCCACCTCGCTGCCACCCACAGCTGGGCAGGGACCGAGGGGACCCCAGGATGCCCGTCCAGGGCCCTGTCCCCCACCACAGGCAGCCTTTGGTGCCAGGGGTGCCCCACAAGAGACCCTCTGCTGCCACTCTGCCCCGGGCCCCCCGCCCGGGCTCAGCTTCTCAAACCCACGAGCGAAGGAGGCCCCAAGGCTGGAGCACAGAGCCCTCGCCGTGCCCGGTCCCTGCGCTGTCCCATGCCAGGCTGGGGGGGCCCCTGGCACGCCCAGCAACCCACCAACGCAAATAGCCGGTGGCTCCTCCGCCCGCTCCCGCCCGGCGCGCGCTGGGGCTCCAATTTCCCGGCGTCAGCCCCCGGCAGCGCTCAGCTGTCGTCCCCCCTGCCCTGTCACTCCGCTGGCCACGGGACCGTGGCGGCTGCCGCCCTCCCCACCCGCCACGGGGGCCTGGGGGCTCTGCGGCCGACGGGGCCCCGGCACCGGCCGCCCTTCGGGGGGTTCTGCAGCGCAGGGCGAGGCCTCCCAGCACAGGGTAAGTGTGTCCCCCTGTGTGACCCCCCTCGCCGTGGCCGTGACCCCCGTGGGCACCCCATGCTGCTGCAGGATCCCAGGGTGCCCCCTTGCTGTGTTACCCCTCACCCCAAATGCTCCCCGGTCCCAGCGCTGCTTCCCCGCGGTCTTCCTCGATTTTCACAAGGGCTGGGGGGGCTCGGGGTGGGCGCCACCAAAGATAGCAAAGTCTGGGTGGAAGGACGGCATGGAGGGTTCGTCAAAGGTGGCATGGGCATGGTTTGGGGGATGCAAGAGCGGGTCCTACCCCGGTGGCAGCCCAAGGCCGAGTGATGCCCCTCGGTGTCACCTGTGTGCTCGTCCTGAGGGGCCGAGAGCGGCACCGTTTGCAGGTGCATGGTGAGATGGAGATGCCCAGGCAGAGGTGGGCACGTGCAGGTAGCCCAGGGGCTGGCTCACAGCACTTGGCACCACAGTCCTGAGCCAGTGGCCGTGCCAGGGGCTGGGCTGGGCACTGGCCTCCTCCAGCCTGGCCTTGGGGCTGCCCGGGCCAGGACCAGCCCTCGCTGGGGCAGGGGCTGCAGGATGGGCGGTGGGAGTGACCCCCAGGGCAGAACCAGTCCTTGCCAGGACAGGGGCTGTGGGATGGGCAGTGGGACTCGGCGCTGCTGGGGAAGTGCAGGCAGGGCCCACCCAACGAGGCTGCCCCCGCCGGGCACCTGCAGCAGGACCAGCCCCAGACAAGGCCTTGTCTCTCTGTTCCCCTCACAGCATGACTGAGAAGGAAGTGCCAGAGCCACCAGCTTCACCTGCTTCAGGTGGGAAACCCAAGAGCCGGGTAAGTGGGTGCCCAGTGGGTGCCACAGGGGGAAGCCACCTCTCTCAGCATCATCCTGTCACTGTCCCAGGAGGCTTGGGAGGGCTGGGGGTGCCTGGTGGGCCCCAGATCCACCTGGTGCTGGGTGGGCATTTCCCAGCTGGGCTCTTCTCTGGGATGCCCATGTCCCCAAGGTGCTCAGGAGATGCAGTTTCCCCTTTTGTGGAATCTTTATGGGGTTGGGAGGAGGGTTCCCATCCTCACAGCGTTCCTGGGGTCTCCTTCTGCTTGGGGAAGGGGTCTCTGGGTCAGGGCAGTGGGGTGAGGAGCTGGGCACGGGGTCTCTGCCCTCCTGCCATACACCATCCATCCTCTCCTGCCCCAGCAGCTGCAGAAGCTGAAGCAACTTTTCCAGCGGAAGCCCAAGGAGGAGCCGGTGCCGGAGCCGCAGCCCAACGGGGAGCTGGTCAGCCCCTCGGGGGGGCCCATCTACTACATCTATGAGGACGAGGAAGAGGAGGAAGAGGAGGAAGAGCCCGAGCCCCCTCCTGAGCCCGAGAAGCTTGTCAATGACAAACCCCACAAGTTCAAAGATCATTACTTCAAAAAACCCAAGTTCTGTGATGTTTGTGCCCGAATGATCGTCCGTGAGTCCTGACGGGGCTGGGGGCCATGGGCAGGGCAGGGGGGGCTACAGGCAGGGCTGGAGCTGGGGCTGGGGGCTACAGCCAGGATGAGGGTTGGGGGCCACGGCCAGGGGCAGGGCAGGGCCTGGGGGCCGAGGCTGCCCAGGGCTCTGTCCCAGACGTTCCACAGCTGCAGTGTCACATTCCCTCTCCTTTCCACCCCCCCCCACCACTGCCAGTCAACAACAAATTTGGCCTGAGGTGCAAGAACTGCAAAACCAACATCCACCACCACTGCCAGTCCTACGTGGAGATGCAGCGCTGCTTTGGCAAGATCGTGAGTGTGTCCCCCCCTGCCCAGCCCGGGGCCACCTCAGCCCCCACGGGCAGGACCCAGGTGCCACCACCCCTGTCACCTCCCGGCCCTGAGGGGGGCCCTGGCTTCGCCCTCTCTGGGCCCCCCGTGTCCCCCCAGCTCTGATGGGATGGCCCGTGGGTGTGGGGGGTGGTTGATGCTCCGACCCCCCCCCCATCTCCTCGCAGCCCCCCGGGTTCCGCCGGGCGTACAGCTCCCCCCTCTACAGCGACCAGCAGTACGCCTGCGTCAAGGACCAGCTCTGTAAGTGCCCATGCCGGGCTGTCCCCTCCCTCCAGCCCCCACCCCGGGGTACCCCATCCTCTCGTGTCCCACCCACGACCCCCCGCCGTCCCTGTGCCCCCCAGCGGACAACAGGAGCGACCCCGTGTTCGAGACGCTGCGGACGGGCGTCATCATGGCCAACAAGGAGCGCAAGAAGGGGCAGGACGACAAGAAGAACGTGAGTGTGGGGTCGGGCTCTCCCCGAATTCCTGTGGGAGCGGTGCTGGAAACATCCTGCCCTCCCACCCCTCACTCTGCACCCCCTGAGAGCTCTCTGCGCCTTCCAGCCCTTGGCTGCAATGATGGACGAGGAGCCGGAGGCCACGAAGCCGGTGGGGAGCAAAGCCGAGGGCGGTGAGCGCGGGGGCCGAGGGACGGGGGGCTGAGCCCGTGGGGCAGGGAGGGAGCCCCCGACTGGGCTTGGGGGGCCACCAGGGTGGGGTCTGCCCTGCAGAGAGGGGGTCTCTCACCTCACCCTGGGGCTCTCACTGTGTCCCCGATACCCTCGGGGAGGTGTGACCCCCTCTCCCATTCCCAGGTGCCTCCGAAGGGGACAAGAAGGCTGAGAAGAGCCCAACAGATGACAAGGTACCCCCCATCCTCAGCCTGCACCCCAAAGCCGTGGGCAGAGGTTGTGGGATCTCCCTGCTGGGATCCCTGCAGCCGTTGGCAGCCTCTGGGACCCCAAACCTCGTTGTGCCCCCCAGAGCAAGAAGCCACAGCCGGGGGCGTTCCTGCAGTCCCACTATTTCGTGGCCCTTTATCGCTTCAAAGCCCTGGAGAAGGACGACCTGGACTTCCCGTGAGTTCCCAGCTCTGTCCTGGGCTCTTTCCCAAGGCTCCTGAGGTTTGGCTCCATGTGATTCCATGGGTTTCTCGAGGCTGAGCTGCTCCGTACGGGACCTGCCTGTCCCCGAGCGCGTGGGCTGCGCTCATCCCTCACTGTCCCCGAGCATGGGGTTCAAGGAGCCGATCCCGTGGGAAGGGCAGTTTTCCTTGGGGTCTCCCACGGCAGGGGGGCCCTTCCCACCCCTCTCACAGGGCACTTCTTTCCCTTCCAGGCCCGGGGAGAAGATCACGGTGGTCGATGACTCCAACGAGGAGTGGTGGCGGGTAAGGCCCTCTGGAAAGGGGAGACCAGCTGGAATTTAACACAGCCCCCCAAACCTGCTGTACCCCCCTACCAGCCCTCACCCTGGGTGGGGGGGTGGATCTGGGACCCCTGGACAGGCCCCCCCACCCCCCACACCTCCACTCCCCACTCACTTGCTCCTTGCAGGGGAAGATCGGTGAGAAAGTCGGGTTCTTCCCGCCCAACTTCATCATCCGGGTGCGGGCCGGCGAGCGGGTGCACAAGGTGACTCGTTCCTTCGTGGGCAACCGGGAGATCGGGCAGATCACGCTCAAGAAGGATCAGGTGAGACGGGACCCCCCCTCGCCCCCTGCTCTGGGGGCTCAGCCCTGCTCCGGGGGAGGGGTCCCGGGGGTCTCACCCGCCCCTCTCTCGCCCCCCCAGATCGTGGTGCAGAAGGGGGAGGAGGTGAACGGTTACGTCAAAGTCTTCACCGGCCGCAAAGTGGGGCTGTTCCCCGTGGACTTCCTGGAGGAGATCTGAGGGGGGCTCTGGGGGGTGGGAGACCCCCGGGATGGGGACGGAGGGACCCCGGGATGGGATGGGGGGGCCCTGGCTGCGGTGCAGGGATGGGGATGGGGACAGGCACCCCCATCTCTGCTGCCCCAGCAGCAAAGGGGTCTCTGGAGGAGACTGTCCCCCCCAGGACCGGGATGGAGGGGTGGGAGGTACCTCTGGGGGGTGTTGGTGCCTCAGACACTGAGTGCGAGCAGGAGGCACCCCCAGACTCGCTGTGGAGCCCCCCAGCTTGGAGGGGGTGGATGCTGGGGAGGGTATTGGGGGGTCCTGCCCCGCTGCTCCACGTGTGTCACCCACCCGGGTTTTGGCAATACAGGCTGTGCCCACCCCCCACTCTCCGGTGAATTTAATGGGGGGGGGAGCACTGGGGGTGCTGGGGGGTCACTGTGGGGGTGTCAGTGACCCCAGTGGGGGTCGTCACTGGTCACTGTGGGGTTCAGTGGCCCCAGTAGAAGGGGGGTCACTGGTCACTGTGGGGGAGTCGATGGCCCCAGTGGGGATGGGGGGGGGGTCACTGGTCACTGTGGGAGGGTCGGTGACCCCACCGGGGGCTCAGCCGGGCACGGGCGCTGGGAGGGGACGGGGCGGGTCCGGAGCCCCCCCGGTCCGTTCCCCCGGGGCCGAGCACTGGCGCGGGGCCCGACGGGGCCCCAAAAGGGGCCGCAGGCGACAGGTGACGGTGCCGGGGACAGGACGAGACCTTGGAGCGGGATTGGGGGGGGCAGGAACAGGTGCCCGGGCCTCGGAGCGGGGGCTGAGCCCCGTGACGTCACGGTGTCGTGACGTCAGCGGTAACCACGGCAACGCACTGGCGGCCGGGGGTGGGCGGGACCGGCAGGGGTGGGCGGGGCCGGGCTTACCCGGCTCCGCCACGCGGGGGCGCTGCCGTCCCGCCGCGCGGCCGCGCTATATGCAAATATATGCAAATATATGCAAATGAGACGAGCGCGCGACGGCGCCCCTTGTGGTCGGCCGGTGGGACAGCCCCCGGTACCGGGGGGGGTTCGATCACCCCGGGGGGCTCGGGAGGGGTCTCCATGGTCTTTCCCCCCGCCATGGGGCCGGACTGGGGCTGCTGAGGGGGCTGCGGGGGCTCCGGGGAATGGGGGGGGAGAGGGGTAAGGGGCAGGCGCTTGACCCCCAAATGGGGGTCCCCCGCATTTCCAGTATTCCCAACATCCCCCGCCCCAGCCGGGAGATGCTGCTGCGGGAATGATGGAAATGCGGTGGGGGGGACAAGGGGGGAGAAGGGGCAGACCCCAGGACTGACCCGACACTCCCCTCCCTCCCCCCGCTCCTTCCCTTCCTGTCACACAGCTTTAAATGCCGGACCATTAAAATTTTCCACCTCATTTGCGGCTCCTCACACGGTTAATTTTCCCGGGATTGTCTATTTATTTATTTGTGGAGCCCTGCGGGAGGGGGGGAGGGAGCAGCTGATTTGCTGCATCTGGGCGGTGGGGAGGGGAAGAGGGGAAACCACCCTGGGAAGGGGGGAGGGCTCCGGCTAATTTAACAGCTGAAGAGAGCAACTTAATTAGAGTCAGCTGGAAAATTGGGTGAAACCCCTTCCATCAGCCTCCCTTCCCCCCGCCAGCCTCCCTCCTTGCCGGCTCCTGGTGGGATGCATTTTGGGATGTGTTTCGGGATGGGGGAGGGAGAGCTGGTCCCAGCCAAGCAGTTGCTCTTCGTTACAGCCAGGAGCTAATTGGATTGATCAGCAGTTATTAGGAAATTAAGAGCTGAAGCCCCTCCACTCTCCCCTGGCTGGGAAGGGATTCTGCACCCCCTCCCTATTAGGGCTGCTGAGCACTTTAGGGTTTGGGTTTTCCTGTTTTCCAGTGGTTTTCCCACTCCCGGTGCCTCCGGCCTGGTTGTGACTTAGGTGTTTGCAGAGAGGGGGGGTCGTGGGGGGACTCCCTGCTCCTCCTCAGGTCGAGGGGGTGCCCCCCAACCCACCCCTTGGAATACACAGGGATGCAGCTGGAGGAGCCCTCCTGACCTCCAGATTAATCACCTCCATTTCTCTCGGCATCCCAGGAAAGGTCAGGAGTCTGCAAGGCCCAGGAATTAATTGAAATCCCACCGGTCTTGTGCCGGATCCATCCATCATCCCGAGGGAGCAGCTCCGCGCTGGAGGGGGGTGGGAGCAGCCCCTCCTGCACCCCCTTTCTGGGGCGCTCTGAGAGCAGGGAGCGGCAGATGCAGCGCTCGGAGCTTGTTCTCCATCTCCAGGCAGGGAAATAAATGGATTAAACTAAACTAAAGCGTCTGCGCTCCCCACCTGCCCCCCCGGCCATAAATCAGCATAAATGCAATTTCCATATTCATGGTATTTATCCAATAACTGTCCTGTCCCAGATTAAACGTGCCCCGGGGAGCACCGGGGCTCTTATCTGTGCCGGGGGGGCTCCCGGGGAGGAGCAGCTCTGCTGGGGGGCTGCAGTGGAGGGTGGGGGGGCTCTGCTCTGCATCCTCTTCATCCTCCTCGTGGGGGACTGGAGTGGGGACTCTGCTCCTCATCCTCTTCCATCGCTCCCGGCCCGGTGGCTCCTGGGAGGGATGCTCAGAGGGCGGATTTGGGGCTTGGCAGTGCTCCTGTCCCGCTCCCTTCCCCTTTTTCCCTATTCCTTTCCTTTCCACTTGTTTTCCGTTCTCCCTCTGCCTCCCCTCCCTCTGGGCCTGGTCCCCACAAGTCCCTTGCGTGGGCAGGGAGAGGGTCCCATCCTGCTCTGGCACCTGGGGGGGACACAGGAACCTTCCCGCCCGGCTCGGAGGGCAGGACTGGGGGTGCTGGGGGGGCAGGTGCCCCCCTCCCGGTGTCCCCAGTGGCTGTGCCGTGGCTGGGGACACCACACACGCCACGACTCCCACTGTGACAGGTCCCTGTCAGCCGTAATGACCCGAGCCCGGCTGGGCCCCAGGGCTGGGAGCTCGTTACGGGGGATTTAATGAGGGCAGGAGCAGCCACCGCCGCTGGCTCTTTGCCACTGCCAGTGGCCTCGGGCCCGCCGGGACCCCGAGCCGCTGCGGTGCCCTCCCCATGGCACAGCACCGAGCCCCCCCAGCCCCCCTCGTGCTGCCCCAGCCTCTGGTGGGGCTGACAGAGGAGTTTGGGGGCAAGAAGGTCCAGGAAAGGCAGATTTTGGGGGGCAGCAGAGCCAGGGGGCTGCAGCCAGAGCTGGGGGGGCTGGTGTTGGGGTCTGTCCCCATGCAGAGGTGGTGGGGGCAGGCTGAGTGTCCCCCAAATGTGGGGGGGCTATGTGGGATGCAGTGGGATGCCAATCTCAGCTGTGGGGTGGGGGCTCAGCCGTGTGTCACAGGCAGCACTGGGGACACCCCAGGTGCACCAGCCCTTTTGGGGGGGGCAGCTCTGAGCCTGGGGGGTCCCAGAGCAGCGTCTCCGCTCTGAGGCAGCCGCGTCCATCCTGGCTCCACAACAACTGCACAAACAGGAGCCTGCGGGGAGCAGGGAAAGGTTTGGCAAAGCAGGAGGCGAAGCACGATCTGAAAGAACCGAGGGAGGGGGCTGCTCTGTCCCCCCACCCCACTGCAGATGGGGCAGGCCCCGAGTGCCCAGGGGTGGTCGCATCCTGCTGGGACCCCCACCTGCCCCCCAGAAGGGCAGCACAGGCCCCACCCCTGCAGTCAGAGGAGAGGGGTCCCTGGGGACCCCCCAGTCACTGCCACCCTCTCAGCCGAGCAAACCAGCCCTGGACCCCCGATGAGCCGGGGTCCCTGGGTGTTGAGATCCCCCTTGTCCCCCTGGCACCCCTGTTTGCCTCCCCCTCGCCCCCCAGGCCCAGTGATCCCCCCCAGACACTAAGTGGGGCAGGGATGTGCTTTGGGGAGAGACCTGGGGGAGCAGCTCTGGTTCTGGGGCCTGGGAGGGGACCTGGGGGGTCCTGTCCTTCCCTGGGGAAGGGAAGAACATCAGGATCGATCCCTGCCCTCCTGCCATTCCCACCCCCTCAGCCCGCACCGCCTCCTGCCTGTGCTCCCCCAGGCTTTGGGATCCGCCCTCCCAAATCCTTGACGGAGGATGAACCGCCCCAAAGCCTGGCTGGGGCTCGCGGCCGCCACCGCCTCTGTCCCCACAGCCCCTGTGAGGTGAACTAAATCCATCCTAATTAGCGCTGATTTGCATGGGGAAATGAAAATTAATCTAGCCTGGCTTTATTGGAATTAGTGATTCCAGTTGGGCACATCAGGCAGTGGCAGACGTCTGAGGGGGCCAGGGGGCTGCCCCCAGGCCTCTACCCCCTCCAGCCGGGTTTGGGGTCCCTCCATGGTGACACCAGGATGCCGGGGAGCACCCACGGGGTTGGCACCAGGAGCCTGGGTTGGGCTCAGCGCCCTCCCAGTGCACCCCCCTGCTCCCACACCCCCTCCCAGCATCCCCAGTTGCAGGATAAGGCAAACAGCTCGTTTTCACCCCCGTTGTCCCATCCCACGGGTGGTTCTGGGCACGGTGGGAAGCGAATGAAGGGCAGGGAGACCCTGCAGGGATCCGGGGTGTCAGATTTTAGGGGTGGGGTATCATATGCACCCGTGTGCATTACATCATTACATCCCTGTATTCCCACACACGCGTGTCCCTTGCCGGCCTGTTCCCGGGCATTCCCACGCGTGTGCCCCGTGCGTGCCATGCAGGAGCACATTCTCATTCCGAAGGTGGGGTCCGCAGGGGGGGGAGTGCCCCGGCCGTGCCCCCTCAGGAGCCCTCTGGCCCCCGCTGCCTCCCGGGGGTGGCACCGGCGCTCATTGTTATGGGGCCCGTGCAGAGGAATCCTCGTCCCGCTCATCAAAGGTTAACGAGGAGAAAAGAGCTGGGCAGGGCCCGGGGCCGCCGGGGGGGTGGGGGTGGTACAGTGTGACAGACCGGGGTGGGGCTGGGGGCTGGGGTTCGGCGCCTGGCACTTCACACCTCCTTGGTGTGACCCTCCAGCCCCAAACCGGCCACA